CCTGTATTCGCTCTGGCGCGGTGGGTACCGGCGGGGCCTGTGAGCTCGTCACTGCTGGCCCCAGGGTTTTACTTTGAATGGTTACTGGTGGGGCTCTCCCTGTTCTCTCCTGTGGTCCCCTTTGAGCTCAGAAAAAGTGTAAATCAATGAGATCTTACGTTTTTTTACACTTTACTTTGTACAGTTTCAAGGTTGATGTTTTGTCAGATTATATTATTTAAAAAATAAATCCCAAATTATCTTTGGGTTTTAGAGAAAAAAGTTTATAGATATCAGGTAGCACTGCATTTCTACCCTTCATAATGTCTTTAGTCATTCAGTTTTTAATTAACTTACAGTGGATGCTTGTGTTTCACAGTTTGGAAGTATTATTATTATTTATACATTTGCTTTTGTCCACAAAGTTAAAGAAGCTAGACATGAATTTGCAATTGAGAGATTGTTCAGTTACATTTCCTGTTAGAAATAATCCAACCTTTCTACCTGCAGGTTACAAGGTGCTACTCATCATGCCGTTTGGCAAAACAAGTAGCTTACTGCTCCTTTCAYACGCATCACTGGGTTCCAGCCCTGCCAACCAACATCACCCACCTCTACCTGGCTTCAAACTACATCAGTGAGATCAACAGCACCTCCCTGAGAGGCTTAGAGGAGCTCCAACATTTAAACCTGGAATCACAGCACGTGACCCTCATCATCAGGAACGACTCTTTTCTCAGGCAGAAAAATCTGCAGGAGTTGTTACTCGGCTATAATCTCAATCTGAAACTGGAGCCGAGAGCGTTTGCAGGGCTCCTCAGTTTACGGAACCTTTCTTTGTACTACTGCAGCTTGACAGACTTGATACTGTCCGAGAYCTATCTGGAGCCACTCGTGTCTTTAGAAGAACTTGACCTTTACGGCAACAAGATACGAAGACTCAAGCCTGGTCTGTTCTTTCTGAATATTACAAAGTTCACTCGTCTAAACCTCAAACTGAACGCTGTTGAGAAAATATGTGAGGAAGACCTAGTTGGCTTTAGGGGTAAACACTTTGCTGAGCTGAATCTAAACTCCAACCACTTTTCCACATTAGATGTGGACAAATGTGGAAATCCTTTCAAAGGACTGGAATTTGATATTCTTGACCTCTCTTCGACCGGGTTCAATGAGGAGAACACAAAGCAGTTTTTTGGAAGAATGGCGGGGACTCCTATTGGCCACCTCAAATACAAAGGAATCCTTGGAAAAGGTTTTTCTCACAACAACAGTCGCGATCCAGATAAAAGCACATTCCAAGGCCTCAAGAACAGTTCAGTCATCATTTTAGAGCTCTCAAAGAATTGGATATTTGCTTTGGAGAGTGGCGTATTTAGTGCTTTTAAAGATGTAATAATTATTGATGTCTCGCAAAACAAAATAAATCAGATCAGGAGAAATGCCTTCGATGGTCTTCAGGCAAATTTAAAGATGCTGAACTTATCATTTAACTTGTTGGGAGAAGTCTATTCCTACACCTTCAACAGTCTGACAGAGCTTCTTTTGCTGGATTTGTCCTACAATCACATTGGTGCTCTGGGTTACGACACTTTCATTGGTCTTCCCAAATTACAGGATTTATATCTGACTGGAAATTCTCTGCGGCAGCTGGGTTCTGTTGCACCTCTGCCCAGCCTTAATGTTCTGTCGCTCAAAGACAATAGGTTACATTCACTCACAGGCCTGAGCGTGGGCGTGAACAGTATCTATGTAGATATTTCAGAGAACAGGTTAACAAACTTGGAGGATGTTTATGTCATTTTAACACATTTTAAGCATCTCCGGTACCTTTTTTTTGGAGGTAACTCGATCAAGTGGTGCAGGATAAACGAGGGAGTTGAAATGCCTCCTGAGCCTCATTTGGAAGTGCTGGATCTTCACGGCAGTTCCCTGCAGATAGCTTGGGAACAAAAAACGTGCCTCGACGTGTTTGATCATCTCAAGAATCTGCTTATCCTAAATATAAGTCTCAATTCATTAATGTCTCTCCCTCAGGGGATCTTCAGAGGCCTCAGCTCGGTTGAACAGATAGACCTTTCATCGAATGCTTTGACCTATCTGGAGGGAGACGTCTTTCCACCCAGCCTGAAACTGCTTGACCTTTCAAACAACTTCCTAGCCTCCCCTGATCCTGAGACTTTCCACTCTCTCAGTTTTCTCAGCCTGGCAAATAACCGCTTCTTCTGTGACTGTTCTCTGGAGGGCTTCCTGACGTGGCTGAATTTGACCAACATCACCTTCCTGAGCCCCAAGCAGGACTACAGATGTGAGTTTCCAGCTGTTGTCCACAACCTTCCCCTTCTGGAGTATCATGTTGAACCATGTGAGGAAGACGACGAAAAGGTCGTACAAGGTCTTCGCTTTGCTGTTTTCGTCTTATCTACCATCCTCATCCTCAGTGTCATGCTAAGTGGGATTGTTTACGCTCGCTTCCGAGGGCACATATTCATCATCTACAAGAAGATTGTCAACAGAGTTGTTGAGGGACCAAAGGCGACGCCTGGTGAAAACAAACTGCAGCACGATGTCTTCCTCTGCTTCAGCAACAACGACTACAGGTGGGTGGAGGCCGCGCTGCTGAAGAAGCTTGATAACCAGTTTTCAGAGGGAAACTTCTTCCGCTGTTGTTTCGAGGCCAGAGACTTCCTGCCTGGTGAGGATCATCTGTCAAACATCAGGGACGCCATCTGGGGCAGCAGGAAGACTTTGTGTGTGGTCTCCAAGGAGTTCCTTAAAGGTACTCAGTGTGCTCCAGGGCAGCTGTGGCTACAATGTAGCTTACCATTGTCAGTGTGTAAATGTGTGTGTGAATGTGTGACATAAAAACATCTTTGAGTGTTTAGAAAAGCACTATATTAGACTAATGCTTTATTTATTTATTTATTTATTTACTCTTTTGATTTATGTTTGCATCAGCTTAAAATTTGACGCCAGAATGACCTTTTCACGCATTCTTAGCTAAAGTTATATAAATCAACACATTAATGAATTTAAGACTGAGGATTTGTTTTTAACGAGTGCAATAAAAACGATTAATTATGAAGTTTTTACTGTATTACCATGATTACCATTTTTATGCGTGTATAATGCGATTTGAGTATAAAGCACCCACCCCATTTTTAAAGCTTAAAACGCATTAAAAATCTAATCCTTGTGTAAATTGTTTCACCTAATTTCAGCCAGACTTCAGGATTTTTTGAGCTTTTGTGGTGTCCTCTCTAGTGGGGAAACAGATTATTTTGGAGACACACTTGTGGGCGTGTTTGTGATCTCATCTGGTTCTTTTGAACGTGCGGCCGACATCCACATCTTTCATCACTGCGATTAGCAAGAAAAAAACAGGTTTTCCTCCTTCAGCTAGCCCCGCGACACAATATTTAAGTTATCTAAAACAACGTAGTCAGGTTCTCTGGTCCTACTTTGTTGAAACAGTTTGTCTCTACAACATCTTTAGTCTGAGGAGTTGCAGGAAAACCTAGCCTCATAAGCATTACCTTCACATAATGGATCAACCAGTTCGCCGGTGACACCTGAAACTGTTCACATGCAAAAGAGGACCATCGGTCTAACAGCTGATTGTGCCCTCATTGGGTGCTTGTTATTCACAGGGTGCTGAATCATACTCACATTAACAGCATTGGGGGACAATTGGACACAGATACCACACCTGTTTAACCACAAGTGGCTTCCTTCACTCCTCTCTCAAACCAACGTTCCTCTCAATCAAGGATGTGAATATCGAGCCCATTCTCATGCCCCCCGCGTCAAGGTACTGACGCATGACCAAGCATCATTATGTTGATGCCAGGGGTACCCCCTGCGCGTCCGTTCTGTATGAGTTGGGGCGGAGGAGGACGGTGGGTTTTTCCAAGCCAAGAAATGTGCGAAACAAACCATCCTAGACCCTAAATTTAATTTCTACTAGCCTTATAGAGCCTAACCCTGACCACAGACTCTAAAGTTAACCATTAACCCTGATCGCTCATGTTAACCACATCCCTCATGTTAACCACATCCCTCATGTTAACCACAGACCCTAAAGTTATCCTTTAATCCTGATTCCTCATGTTAACCTCATACGTCACGCAAAACCCGTACCCTGCGCGTCAACATAGACGAGCGCCCAAGCGTCAATATGTTACGAGTCCAACTTGAGAATGTTTTAGAATATCTTCAACTCCAAGCCAAATTGTCCCACTTACAGTGCTGTTATTGTGAGTACAGTTTATGGGAAGAAAAAAAACTTTGTCATTATTTGTCCACAAATCTGTCCCTGTTAATGTAATGTCAGACAGACTCTTTTGTGCACATCAGTTTTGAGGTTTTGGCCATTTGACTCTTTATAAATGTCTGCTTCTGGTCAGTGTTGTATAAAGTACCTCAAAGTGATACTTGAGTAAAAGTAAGTATCTTATCATAAAAATACTTTGGTAAAAGTTAGTCTTCTCTAAAAATATTACTAGTCTTAAAGTATCTGATATTTTTTGTACTTGCGTATCAAAAGTAAAATTATGACACAAAATCTACTTAAGTATTAAAAGTAAAAGTACTGAGTAAAAGTGAYCAGTTAGATTTTCCAAAATGACATTTATTGGGAGGTGAATCCTCCAAAAAACATTTTTTCTATCAGCGTGCAGCTGTGATGGGTTGTGTACAAYCTAARAGMGTGTCAGAATGGTTTATATTTATACTTCTCATCCAAACYCAATTAAATTCACTCTATGAGGCACAGTTTATCAGGATAGRATTTTTTAAAGTAATAACAACTCGAAATAAAATAGGAGTAACGACTTTCTTCTTATTACCTTTTTAAAAAATGTAGTGAATAGAAAGTACAGATAATTGTGTAAAAATGTAATGAGTAAAATTAAAAAGTACGCTAAAAAATAATTACTCAAGTAAAGTGCAGTTACCCAAATTTCTACTTAAGTACAGTAACAAAGGATTTGTAATTAGTTACTTTACAACTCTGCMTCTYGTGCAACAGTCAGATTCTGGAAACAAGTGGTTGAAGCAAAATGCAGCATCCAATCACTTTCAGCATAAAAACACGCCCACGAACAACTGACCAATCACAGTAAGTTCTTATGTGGAGGGGGGTGAAATGTTCGGCCCGGGCCTTGTGCAGAGAAAAGTTGGAAGATACGAAGCTGCGAACAAAATGACGCAGTTTCCATCATGCGACTGCAACAATTAGAGAGGATTTCAGCAGTTCAGATGGAGCACACTGAGTGCTTAAGGCCAGCCTAACGTGAGCTAATCATGTGATTCAACTTCCACGTAGATTTAGCCTGAGTACCTGCATTTCAGGTCTGCATATAAATATAAAACTACTGGAGTAAACTCGTTCAGACTGCACCATTCAATGTTCAACTTTTGTAATTTACAATGAGTAGCTCTAACAATATGATGTATAATATTAATATGAGCAAAACTAACCGGTTTGTGCCTCTTTGTAGATGGTTGGTGTTTGGAGGCATTCACCCTCGCTCAGGGTCGCATGTTGGATGAACTGACTAACATCCTCATCATGGTTGTGGTAGGAAAGGTGTGTGTAAAAAAATCTACTTCTTTCAGATTTTAGTTCATTACAAAGAGCAAAACAAATAATTAAAGTTTTTACACAAAACCATTCAGTGCTTGAGCTTTTGTTGCTGATTTAAAGCAAAACTTTGCTCTGATTCACTCACAGGTGGCTCACTACCAGCTGATGAAGTGCAATGCACTCAGAGCTTTTGTCCATAAGAGGTGGTACCTCACCTGGCCAGAGGACCCTCAGGACCTGGAGTGGTTTTATGAGCGACTCACCTTACAAATTTTCAAAAACACCAAGGTGGAAGTGTTGGCAGTGCAAGAACCGAAGACTACAAAGCCTGAACCTAAAATCAAGGAAGAGATTCAGCTGGAGAACATCCAAAGAGTTACCGCCTGAACTTTGATGAAAATCGTACAGTGCAAATAAGTACAGACAGTGGCTACTAATGAACGAATCATGCCTTCAAATACAGTTAAAGAGGAGGTGTGGACGGGCCAAGATAGCCAGAAATCAAGAGTCCAGTCAAGGAAGAAGTCTTCCCTTCTCCATGCAGCTCAAAACACTTAAACAAGATCAAGTAACATCATCAGGTTTAACCTGCATCTAGCACCTTGGGATATAATGCTTTTCACTTTGCAGCAGCACACAACAGGAACATTATTTACCCTCAGAGGGGCTGAGGCTTATCTGTGAAAGAATTTTAATTTAGTGTTTTTGTGTCACTCTGTTCTGTGAGCTTGTCTCTGAAACTCTACTTACTGTGCAAAAAACCTGATTCAAGGCAGCTTGAAATGTCGTCAGATGTTTAACATTTTTTATGTGCTCGTCTTTAATCGTTTTTATTTCACTTTGAGGAATCTTTTAAGGTTTTGGTTTTAGTAAATGTGAATATTTGCCTGTTTATGTGCTGTGTTATTCAGACCGTCATCTAGACATTWAATTTAAGAAGCAGGGCACCAAAGATGTGTTTCCTCATTTTGCATGCTTGAGATGATAAAAAAAAAAAACACATCAGTCTAACTTTATATAAGATGAACCAAGTGCAACTGATGTGTTGCTTGTCCTAAAAAAATTAATTATCCTTTAAAGTCCTACATTTCTTTTGCATCAAACATTTGAATGAAAGGAACGTAGTTATTTGAGTCCACTTGTTGAATAAATCAAAATTCACAACTTTTGAAACCTACAGATTAGTCTCCACATGTTCAAAACAGTTTCTGTCAGTTATAAAGCAGTGATTAAAGGCCGATGACTTGGATTTAAAGGAAATCATGACCAATCTGAAGTGGTGTTTAGTAGAAAAGTTACTAACCCCAGTTTACTCTGTGTCCACTCCACTCTGGTATGACCTCTGCACTACAAATGCACCCAGTGGTGGGCACCAGCCCACTAAAGCACAAATCCGCTAATTGCGGACCTAAATATTTTGTTTGCGCTTTAGTGGTCTTACTAATTTTTATAATTCATAAGTGGATTTGGGCTTTCTAAAATTAAAATGCAGTACTGCTAACAACTAATTATCTACCAATCATCATTATCTTGAACAGCGGAAGTTTTGAAGTTGCAGACCTAAATATTTTATAAGCGCTTTAGAAATTGCGGAGCTAATTTTTGGATTAGCGCTGCCCACCACTGAATGCACCCACTGAGAGTATTTACACTGCACCTGCCGGGCGTCAGCGTGAGTACCGGAGATCAACCAAAAGTAGATTTGATCCTATTTTGGCCAGACGGCGGAGTAAGTGCMGAGTGCTGCCATTATTCGTCCTTGTAAAAACTGTAACCACAAAATTACAAGTTCATACTAAAATTACTTAAATGTAAAAGTCCATAACTGAAGATTTGAAAGAATCTCTATGAAACTTCGGAGACTCAAGCTGCTTAAATACGGCAGAGATCCACTGTGAGCCCCGTTCGGACCAGTCCAAGGTTCTGCAACCCTTACTTGTCTTTCCAGTTACTGTAAAAGTTAATTTTATTATGACTGAGACTTTGGCATCGTTTTGGTCTGAATTGTTTGCATTCTGAAGCCTCACATTCAGATCATTTTATGATTCAAGACTCATAAAAAATGTGARTTAAGCAGCGATGAAATCTGTTTATTTGATTGTGAAATCTGTTCAAATGTGAAAAATGAATGTAGATGATATTTCTGTGCATTTATCTGTTATAACGGGAATGACATTTTAAACTAATCAGTAAGATTCCTCTGACCCAAATTCCAAATTGAAAATAGCTACATATCAAACATTACCGGTGGATCGGGGATCACATTCAGTATGTGGGCGAGTTAAGTTCAGCCCACTAATAAGTTCTATTGAAATAAACTCAATTTTAAARTGTAAATTAAATTAATGTAGACAATAACTGCTGGATGTCACTGAGCTGTTGACTTGTAAAACCTTAAACTAAGATCCTGATTTCAAACAACTTCTTCAAAACATTCTTGTGTTTTGTTAAACTTATAATCAAAGTCTTCCTTCAATCATAAAAGTTTATTCTTGTTTCAGTGTTATCCTTGTGAAATATCTGTTACATGAATGTATTTGTTTAAATCAGGTTCATATAAATCAGAGGAATCACTTGATGTTATAACTATTTTCCCCAAATTCCTTTTGGTTTTGTTATGGTTTTTTTTATTTTTTATTGTTGATATTAATTTTGCTTTATTTTCATTTTATAATAAAAGCTTAAAGGAGAATTTGGTTTGTTTCATTAGTAAATGTTGTTGGATTTGAAAACGTTGGATTTACCCGGTTTGTCCGGCAGCTTCCCCCGCCACCGGATCCAACTCCTCACCAGGTTCAGGATCAGCTGACGACTCGGCCCCTCTCTTGACAAAGACATGAACTTCTGCTCTTAAGAAGTTCATTTACTTCTTAAGAAGTAAATGTATGCTCTTGATAAATGGAAGTTAAATTCTTAAATAGTTAAAACAAACACAATCACTCAGGTTTTTGGTCTAAAATACACTAAAATGGACTGAAGTGAAAACTAAACACACTAACCTGCACCCTAACTATAAAATCCTAACATGGTAAATATCACAGATCGAATTTCTCGGTCCTGCTCTCGTCTCCATCAAAAAGAAATTTAAAGGCCCAGGCTTCACAGAGAGCATGAGCCTCTTCACCTAAGCAGCAAAAAGAATGGTCGATTTAGTAGTTTACAATGAAATCCACAAAGGGCTCAAAACATAATAATAAATGTTGCCTGTAAAATAATCCATAATGACAATAATTTACCTCCAGCTGCCTAGTATGAGAGGCCGTTTATGGCATATTTAATTTTTACTCTCACATATACAATCATATGCAGTTTACAGTTGCTGTGTATCTTCTATCGTCTCCATCGCCACCAAACTCCATTCGTGTCTTATCTTCTTATTCTTGTAGGTTTTTTTTACTGCTTTCAAATAACTTTGGGCCCCGGTCAGAAAGGAGGTCTGTGGGGGTTTAAWTTTTTTTTTTCGGTTTGAGAGAAAGATGAGACTGATGGCTGATTGCAGTATTTTTTCCACAAGATTAAACCGTTTCCCTTTGCCTGCAGAAAAATTAAACAAAAACAGGTGTAAACTATTTATCTTAACTCTGGTTGTACTTGGTCTGTTCACTTATTTTTAAAAAAACGTCTGTATAGTTTGAAGGATCTTCTGTTGACAAAACTTGCAACAGATTCTCAGAAAGACAATAACTATGTTTACAAGCACAAAATGTTTTCATCGGATTGAACTGTATTTGGATTAAATAATCTGATGGACACAATCCGATCATGACAAGTGTTTACATGCGCAGTGTTGTAAACTTTCAGCTCTACTTCCGTGTTACAAATGTAAACAATAAGCTCCTCTGTGCGCTCAGGACGGACCCGTGTCAGCTTTTAATAACGGTAGAGACGCCGTTACTCCTCGGTTGAGCTGCAGATGAAGCAAAATGTTTTTTATTTTTTGCAAAGCAATGTGTTTGTCTCCTTTTTAATCTGTTAAAGGCCCACTGTGTAGGATTTGTTGTTTTCAGCGACATCTAGTGGTTGAGTGGTCGAATCATCCTCCCTGGTCCTCCCCCCGCTTCCAAATGCAAAGGAGTTGCTACGGTGTCCCTCAGGTGTCAAAAACCTTTGATAATTCCAACCGCGATGTCTACCAGCAGCTTCAGGGCTAGTGATGTTTCAAGTGGTAAGATTATGAGCTTAATAAGTAAAATTATCCCAGCTACAATGACAGACAACAAA